GGCACGTCCATTGCAAAAATCAGACTTGGGCTATGACCCTCCTTCCCTTCTAGTTGTTGTTAGGTGTCGTTGAGTCGGTGCTGACTCCTGGTGACCACGTGTGCAACAGAAGGCCATCCTCACAGTTGTTGCTGTTTGAGCCCATTGTTGCAGCCCTGTGTCGGTCCACCTCGCTGAAGGGCCTCCTCTTCTCCAGCAACTGGTCCTTCTGGTAACATGTCCAAAGTGTAGGAAAGAAGCCTCAGCACCCTTGCTTCTAAGGAGCATCCTGACTGCACTTCTCCCAAGACAGATTTGTGTGTTCTTCTGGAAGTCCATGGTGTATTCAGTACTCTTCACCCACACTGTAATTCAGAGGCATCAATTCTTCTTTGGTCTTTGTTACTCATGGCCCAGCTTCTGCATGCATATGAAGTGATTGAAAACACCATGGCTGGGGTCAGGCACACCTTACTCCTCCAAGTGACATCTTTGCTATGGAGCATTTTAAAGAGGTCTTTTGCAGCAGATTGCCCAATGCAGTATGTTGTTTGATTTCCTGACTCCTGCTTTCATGGGTGTTGATTGTGGATCCAAATAAAATGAAATCCTTGACAGCTTCAATCTTTTCCCCCTTTATCATGATGTTGCTTATTGGTCCAGTTGTGAGAATTTTTATTTGCTTTAGATTGATTTGTAATCCAGACTGAAGGCTGCAATCTTTGATCTTCATCAATAAGTGCTACAAGTCCTCTTCACTTTCAGCTTTGCCTCCCTTCAGGTGCCCTAGTGGAATATTCCTGGGTCTTTTCTTCCTATTTCAATTTTGGCTACTTTAACTCAAGATCTGCTAAGAGCAACTGATTGTCCTGGACCCAGGCCGTCTTACCTTTAGCTCCAGCTTTTGGGGTGGAGATAATCTGGGAATGGACTCTTCCATCTTCGGCTAGGAAGACAGCCAGTCAGTATTCAGATCGCCTTCCGGGCTGTGGTCCACATGCTGAAGAGCACAGGTTCCAGCCCCAGGGTCTCTGGCCAGCAGCTGGGGCTTGTAGCCTCTGGGCGTACATCTGCTTTCACCCAGGTCCAAGGCTTTGTTGTCGCTGTGCAGTCGATTCTGACTCATGGTGGCTCCATGTGTTGCAGGGTAGAACTGCTCCATAGGGTTTTCAGGGTTAGTGCCTAAAGGCATTTGACTGCTAACCAGAAGGCTGGCAGTTCAAACCCACCAGCCACTCCTCGGAAGGAAGGTTGGGCAATCTACTTCTATAGTGATACCTCCTCAGAAACCCAAGGAAGGGTCTATGAGTGGGATCTGGCTCCATGGCAGTGACTTTGGTTTTGCAAACAGATCACCAGGCCTTTCTTCAGAGGCACATCTGAGTGTGTTTGAACTGTCAGCCTGTTTGCCGGTAGCCGAGTGCTTAACCATTTGCACCACCCAGGGACTCATGTTAAGTGTCTGAGTTTCCAGTGCTGAAGAGGACATTGCCCCAGTGGGAGTGCTGGCCGCCCTCGCTGTTAGATGAATTGGGCAGGAGTCTTTGGAGAGATCTGCTCATTTTCACAGTGGTTTTTAAAGGAAGCTCATTTCTAAAGGAACTCTGGTGGTACAACGGCTAAGTGCTTGGCTGCTAACTGAAAGGTTGGTGGTTCAGCTCCACCAGCTGCTTCATGGGGGAGAGATGAGGCAGCCTGCTTCCATAAAGATTTAAGCCTTGGAATCCTTGTGGGGTAGTTCTACTCTGTCCTGTAGGGGCACTGTGAGTGGGAATACATTTGATGGCAACAGGGATGGGTTAATTCCCTAAGCGTGCATCCCAAGCATGGGGTCTTGGGTGGCTCCTAGTGAGACCTGGCCTGTGCCATTCGGAATGTTGAGCACAGCCAGGGCACTTCCTCTGCAACTAGCCGCCTCCCTTCTCCTCTCAGCTTCACTCCGTCCCTAGTAAACACTGGAGGAGGGGCCCAGCTTGAGGAAGAACATATGTATCCCTTTAGGAACCAGTGACCTTCAAGGACGTGGCCGTGGACTTTTCCCAAGAGGAGTGGGGGCAGCTGGACCCTATTCAGAGGACCTTGTACCGCGATGTGATGCTGGAGACCTTCAGGCACCTACTCTCTGTGGGTAAGGCAGGTGCTGGCCATGGAAACAAGGCTGTTCACACTTCAGTGCCTCCATTGGAGGTCTCTGGAGGGCTAAAATGGCCTTGGGTGCTGGGATCCAGGGGAGAAATTTCTAATGCTTGTGGAATATGATGGGGGAGGGACTGTGCTGCTTCTGTACAAGTGACAGGTCACAGTAGAGCAGCAGATGACAGAATTGTTCTACAGCTGTCCCAGGCCACGTGACACGAGTGCTGTGTTTTTCCTGCCTCTATAGGGAATGAGCTCACCAAGTCTGAGGTCATCTCCCTGTTGGAGCAAGGGGAGGAGCCATGGACTCTGGAGAGAGGATGTCCTCGAAGCACTTGTCCAGGTGAGAACTGGCCAGAGTCCCCAGTGTGGGCAGGGCACTTTCCTCCAGGCCCTCCTTATTTGAGAAGCAGGCCAAGGGCATGAGGACTTTCTCAGATCCATCCGGAATTCCCTGTGCATCCCTCTCCCTTCTGGATTGACTTCTTGTTCATTCAAAGCTGAGGCAGCTGTCTCACTGATGAGGTAGCGTTTCCCCACCATCTGCTGCTCTCTGAAGCCTCTCCTACTCCCTGCTGCCCCTTTCTCTGAGAGACTGTCCTAGTCTCTTGGTGCTGCTGTAACAGAAGCACGAGGGGAGGCTTTAAAGGGAAGAAGTCTACTTCCTCACAGTTCAAAAGGCTGGAGGTCTGAATTCAGGGCACTACTATAGGGAAAGATTGTCTCTCTGGGCTGCTGGGCAAGATCCTTCTGTATCCCTGGAATCCCTCTGTTCCTTGGTGATCTTCACATGGCGAATCTCTCCCCATTTGTGTATACCTTTTAAGATGTCTACATCCTAATCTGTGAATGTAGTACTTTCCTGGGCAAAGGGGACTTTCTGAAGGTGATTAAGTTACATATCTTGAGATGGGGAGAAAAACAAACAAAAACCCAAAAAGGAACTCTGGTGATGTAGTGGATAAGGTGTTTGACTGCTAACCAGAAGGTCAGTGGTTCTAATCTACCAGCTGCTCCACTGGTGGAAGACTGGGTGATCTGCTTCCGTAAAGATTTATATAGCCTTGGAATCTTTTAGATGGGGAGAGTATGCTGGATTATCCGAGTGAGCCCAGTGTCACCACATGGATCCTTGTAAAGAGAGATGTAGGGATGTTGGAGATACAGAGAGGAGATGAGACAGTGGAAGTGGAGGTAGAAGTGGTGCTCTTTGAAGGTGGATGAAGAGGCACAAGCCAGGGGATGCTGGTGGCCATGAAGAGCTGGACAAGCAGGAAACAAATTCTCCCCTGGAGCCTTGAGAGGGGGTGGCCCTGTTGAAGCCTTGATCCTAGCCCAGTGAAGGAAAATTTGGACTTCTGACCGCCAGAACTGAAAGATAATAGATTTTATTTAAGCCACAAAGCTTGTAGTAAATGTTACAGTGGCAATAGGAAATGAGTACAGACCCTTCAGTTGGTAGAGGACTGATAATGACAGTAGCCCCCGTGTGCTGGAAGGCTGCCATTTGTGAGGCATTGCACTGGACTCAAATTTCATTGAATCATCTGAAAAGTCCTGTGAGGATAGAGACAGAAAGGTTACGTAAGTACTGATGATCAGCTGATCACTCTGTGCCTATTGTGTAACAGCATGCTCCCTTTCACATCTTTTTCCTGTGTCATTGTCCTGAATTTTTTCTGTGGTGGTAGAACTGTAGCTTTAGGAGGATCTTAGAATATGATGATCTTTGTCCTTTGGGCTGATGGATCTTCTGTCATTGATTGGACTCTGTGGAATCACATGCTTTTGTAGGTAACACCTGGTTTGAAGCCTGGCTGGGTGGTACTTTCTTCTTACACCACTCTCTCCTTTCCTTGGTGGTAAATGTTGTGTCAGGATGTAGGAGCATAAGGATATCGTTGTTGTTGTTATGTGCTGTTGAGTTGGACCTGACTAATAGCAGCCCCTCCTTGGGTTTCTGAGGTGGTATCACTACTGAAGTAGATTGCCCAACCTTCCTTTGGAGGAGTGGCTGGTAGATATGAACCACTTCTGGTTAACAGTTAAGTACCTTAGGCACTATGCTACCAGAGCGCTCCTATAAGGATATTACTACATAGAAATGAATTAGGATCCTATTTAATAATTTAAACATTGCTTGCTAAGAGCCTGTCAGCTCATCTTCCTTTTGTTAAACCAGTTTGTTTTCTTTTTAACCTTGTTGTTGTTAGTTGCCATCAAGTCAGTTCAGAGTCATGGCAACCCCACATATGCAGAGTAGAGCTATACTCCATAGGGTTTTCTTTTGCTTTTGGAAGCAGATCACCAGGCCTGTCTTCCACGGTGCCTCTGGGTAGGCTTGAACTGCTAACCTTCCACCCGGTAGTTGAGTGCTTAACTGTTTGTGCCACCCAGGGACTCTTTTTTTTTTAACCTTAATAACATCCAGATTCAGTGTTGCCTTTGTGTGAGGAGTCCTCAGGATCAGCCCCAGGTTTGGCTGTTTCCTAGGAGACTCCAAAGTCACTGTAGTCACAGTTACAGTTTATTACAATGAAAGGATACAAAGCAACATTAACAAAGGGAAAAAGCACAAAGGGCTAATTTCAGAGGAAACCACGTGCAGATTTCTGAGAGTCCTTTCCCATTGATATCACATGTTGTTGTTGTTGTTATGTGCCGTAGAGTCAAACCCGACTCATAGCGACCCTTCCTTGGGTTTCCAAGGCAGTATCACTACAGAAGTAGGATTGGCCAACCTTCCTTCCGAGGAGTGGCTGGTGGGTTTGAACCGCCAGCTGTCTGGTTAGCAGGCAAGTGTCTTAGCCACTATGCTACCAGAGCTCCCTTAATTCCTCCAGCAATGAGTTGTGACAATACCTTTGTAGTGTTGCCTACCAGGGAAGCTCACCTGAGCCTAGGCGTCAGTCAAAAAGACACATGGTGCCTGTGAAGCTCCAGACCCGGAAGGAGAGGAGATGTTCACCATTAATAATATTGTTTCCAAAAACCATGCAAAGAGACTAGCACAGCGAGCTTCACATCCTCCTGGATGCACAACACTTGGATCTGTTAGAACGCTCCAAGACCTCAGTTCCCAGGAGCTGACCATGTGCCAGTCCTGAAGCAGGCCTGCTGTGAGTATGCAATGTTTGAGCAGCTCGGGCAAGCTCAGTTATCTCCTGCACACCCTTCAATGTGTTTTATTAGCTTTGAGTACATACTTTGTATTCTGATTGGCTACTTTTTCCCCTATTCACAACTCTCCTCTTCCCTTTGATGAGCTTTCCTTGGGTTACAACTTTGTTTGAAAGCACATTCACTCTGGTCCCTTTGATGTTATGGACAGTAAGCCCACTGTTCCTACTCTTGTCTTAGGATTTATGAGTGTGTATTCTCATGGCTTTTTTCTTCCTTTTTTTTTTTTTTTTCCAGAATGGGTGAGGAGTATTGAAAGGAAAACTCTGATCCCAGCACAGAGCATTTCTGAGGAAGAACAATCCCATGGCATGAAGTTGGAAAGATACATATGGGATAATCCTTGGTTCTCCAGGGTAGAGGTCTTGGGATGTGAAGATCAATTAGCATTGTCTCACATGAACCAGAGTAGAGCTATGAGGCAGATGGTCTTCATGCAAAAGCAAGTGCTGTCACAGAGAGGCTCTGAATTCTATGAACTGGGGTCAGACTGTAGCCAGAGCTTAAACATCATTCCATCTCAGAGAATTTCTCAGATAGAACGTTTCTATACACCTCATACACATGCTGAAAGTTGGAGATATAATTCAGCCATAATGTATGCAGATAACATTACCTGTGAAACTAATGATTATGGGAAAGCCTTCTACCAGTCCATTCAACCTGTTCACCCTGCAGGAATGCAAACCGGAGATAATCTTTTCAAATATACTGATGCTGTTAAATCTTTCGATCAAATAATACATTTTGGTGATCATAAGAGAATTCAAAGAGGAGAGAAACTCTATGAATATAAGGAATGTCATCAAATCTTTAACCAGAGCCCATCATTTAATGAACATTCAAGACTTCATATTGGAGGAAACCAATATGATTACAAAGAATATGAGAATATTTTTTATTTCTCATCTATTATGGAACATCAAAAAATTGATGCTGTAGAGAAAGCAAATAAATATAATGAATGGGAGAAAGTCTTTGGGTACGACTCATTCCTTACTCAACATACAAGCACTTACAGTGCAGAGAAACCTTATGACTATAATGAATGTGGGACATCTCTCATATGGAGCTCTTACCTTATCCAACACAAGAAAACTCATGCTGGAGAGAAACCCTATGAATGTGATCAATGTGGGAAAGTTTTCAGGAATCGTTCAGCCCTTACTAAACATGAACGGACTCACACTGGAATAAAACCCTATGAATGTAATAAATGTGGAAAAGCATTTAGCTGGAATTCTCATCTTATTGTCCATAAGAGAATTCACACAGGAGAGAAACCTTATGTATGTAATGAATGTGGGAAGTCTTTCAACTGGAACTCTCATCTTATTGGACATCAGAGAACTCATACTGGAGAGAAACCTTTTGAATGTACTGAATGTGGGAAATCCTTCAGCTGGAGCTCCCATCTCATTGCCCATATGAGGATGCATACTGGAGAGAAGCCCTTTAAATGTGATGAATGTGAAAAAGCTTTTAGAGATTACTCTGCCCTTAGTAAACACGAAAGAACTCATTCTGGAGCAAAACCATATAAATGTACAGAATGTGGAAAATCCTTCAGCTGGAGCTCCCATCTCATTGCCCACCAGAGAACTCATACAGGAGAGAAACCTTACAACTGCCAGGAATGCGGTAAAGCATTCAGAGAGCGTTCAGCCCTCACGAAACATGAGATCATTCATTCTGGAATTAAGCCTTATGAATGTAATAAATGTGGGAAATGCTGCAGCCAGATGGCTCATCTCGTTAGGCATCAAAGGACGCATACTGGAGAGAAGCCCTATGAATGCAATAAATGTGGGAAATCCTTCAGCCAGAGCTGTCACCTTGTTGCTCACCGGAGAATTCACACTGGTGAGAAACCCTATAAATGCAATCAGTGTGAACGGTCCTTTAACTGTAGCTCTCACCTTATTGCACACCGGAGAACTCATACTGGAGAAAAACCATACAGGTGTAATGAATGTGGGAAAGCATTCAATGAGAGTTCTTCACTTATTGTGCACCTGAGAAACCATACTGGAGAAAAACCCTACAAATGTAACCATTGTGAGAAAGCTTTCTGTAAGAATTCTTCCCTCATTATCCACCAGAGAATGCATAGTGGAGAAAAACACTTTATATGCAATGAATGTGGAAAGTCATTTAATGGTCACTCAGCCCTCATCCAGCACCAGAGAGACCACAGTGAAGAGAAACTCTGTGGATTGAATTAATGGGAGGTTTTTTTTTTTTTTTTTTTTTTTTTTTAAATTGTATCTTTCATAACACATTGGCAGGGGTGGGGGGAACTATAAATATAATCAAGAGGGGAAATTTTTCAGTAAGAATTTAGTAAGAGTTCTCCCATTATTAGTCACTACAAAATATCTTATTAGAGGAAAGCCTATGGATGAAAAGAAAAAGGGAGTGCTTTCAGCAGTTATTCACCCCTTAGTAAATTAATCATTAGAGTAAAGAAAATTCCCCTTATTGTCCACCAGAAATACACACTAGAGGCATAAGACCTCGGAGAGAATGAGGCATTTTTTTAGGAAGAGCTTTCACCTATTTCTGGATCAATGTGCATTGTTAAGGGAAAAGTCTTAGGAAAAACATTTCAACTGGAAATACATTTTGGATCAAGCTGGAGGACTGGATGAAAAGCTTTATGATACTTTATGCACAATTACAGAAATACAGATTTTGCTATTCAATGGGGAGGGTCTTGATACCCTTTAAGGAATAGAATATGGAATACTAAATTTTGAATTTAAGAAAAAAGAGTTGAATGGGGTATATACTGTTGATCCAGATTAGCTAACCTTTTTAGAAAAAATTAGTAAATGAGATTACTAGTGGTGAAAGATTATTGTCTGGAAGTATAAGAGACTTTTGTTGGAACAAAAAGTGAGACTGAAGAGCCTGGAGTGTGGGTGTCCGTTGTTTGTTCATATTTGCCTCTTTGGGCAGTTAGTTTGTAATTTGTTTTAGGCAGTCACTGTAAATTAGAATTGCGGATATTACATCATACACATCATGTGAAGGAATAAAAAGGACACAGTTGTACATACATATTTATCATACAGTCTAAAAATTAAATGAACAAGAACTGGATAGGTCCGTGGAGAAATTAACCCAGTTAATTTAACTTGTTTTAGTTTTACAAACATATATAGCACTTATCATGTGCCCGGCATTGTTTTAAATGCCTCATAAATGTTGTTCGTTCAATTCCCTTCTTATCCCAATTTTATAAATGGGGAGACTGAAGCAGAGATGGTAAGGAATGCACCCAAGGACACACAGGTAATAAGCAGTAGAGTTGGGATTCACTCTGGCTCCAGAGGTCATGTTCTAAATCACTATGTTATGCTGCTTCTCCAGTGATTTTTTCCCTTTTGTTCAGTGTTTCTGTAGTAGAGATTTGATAATAAAAGTAAAACCCTAGAGAAGGAGAAATAAAATTACTTGACTTCTCTGTCTCAAAGGTTGTGGTAACCTGAGTAAGCTCCCTTTGGAATTTGAAGAACACTAGGTCAGACACTGGGAGCTCTGATAGCATAGTGCCTAAGGCACTTGACTGCTAACCAGAAGGCTGGTGG